GATATGTTTGTGCCTTGGGAGCAGGATCCGTGCAGTGCTCTCAGTAGGACCAAGGAAGGACCAGCAGCCTTTTATTTCTTACCTGGAAAGCGAAGCTCTCATTGAAGACAGGGTTCAGGGTCTTGCGGTAAACCTTGGTCTCATACTTCTTCTTCATGTCGGATGTTAGGTACACAATAACGTACGGATCAGATGTCCCTCCACTGTCCATGGCCTTCAGGTCGGCTGCCTGCTTCACACCGACTTTCATCTGAGAAGGAAGAGCACACAAGGTGACTCTGCAGAGGAGGACATGGCCACGTGAATGGAGCAGTCCTGGGGATCAGCAAAAAATGGCAGAGTATGGCCTGGATATTGGGGTCTCCCTTGGTGGGCAGAGAAGAGGGACCGTGCAAGAGAAAGTGCTGGGGGACTGGCAGGAGAAAGGCCCCAGTGGTTCGCCCCAGCGCAGGGAGCCCTACCTCCTGCCCGCGGAGGTTGTACTCCAGGGAATACTGCAGCTTCCCGCGTTTCTTGTCCTCGGGGCCACGCTCCAGGTCTTCCACTTCAGGCTGCACCTGCGGCAAGGAAGCAGCAGTCGCCTCGAGCCTGGCACGGGAGCCCGGGGGTGCTGGGCCAAGTCCCCGGAGCAAAGCTGCCCGCGGAGAGGCTGCTTCGTGCCCGCGTCGCAGGGACGGTGCAGCCCCAGCAAGCCTCCTGCTCTGCTCCAGACCGGCGAGGCCAGGCACCAGGCCGAGCACCCTCCCATCACGCTGCTGGATACATCTGACAGACTGAGATGCTTTAAACCTCAGACTTCAGAAAGCCCCCCCACTATGTGCTGGTAACCAGCCGGAAGCCAGGCAATATTGATAAAAGCCAAGCAGCACAGCCCAGCCGAGGAGAGGCTCTGTTGATTTACCCCTGTAGCCTACACAGGATCCTCAAGCTGCAATTGGAGATTGCACCCTGTCCGGAGGCTTTCCCTCTCCATCCAGGGGCAAGGTGAGATCTCAGGCCCCAGCTGGAGCCACACACAAGAGCAGCTTTATGGCAACACATCCCCTCTCTGGTCTGAAACGCGCCCTGGAAGTGCCGAGGTGTCCCTCGGTAGGGAGGGTCCAACTGGACACCCACCACGGAGCCCCTCAGCCTGGGACCACCTGGCACCTGCAAGGGGGACGCGCAGGAGCAGAGCACCGCACCGCAAGCAAGGGCCAGAGCGGGGAAAGCACAACGTACGAGGTTGGCTGCGGTGGAGCCGCTCAAGGAAAGCAAGTTGACTTTCTCCTTCTTCTTGGGCTTCTTCTTGCAGCAGCAGCACTTGATGAGGCAGATGAGGAAGAGGAGGAGGAGAACGGCCACAGCGACGGCCACAGCAATGAGCGCCCATTTGGGTACTGGCGCGGCGTTCAGAGGACAGAGGTGGACAGAAGAGTTAAAACCAAGCAAAAGGTGTAGAGCACTTTCAAATCCACCTCCGGGCTTTTTCAGCCTTAAGGCGTTGCACCTCCAGTATTTCCTCTACAACCACGAGAGCCGGAAACCGAGTCTCCCCGTAAGGAAAGCTGAGATGCCCCTGCCGCGCCGAATACCACCCGGAGGGCTGCATCGCCCCCGCCTCGCTTCCCGCGCTCCTCCTTCGCTCCTCTCCCTCCTCCACTCCCCGCCTTCTCCATCTTTCACGCGGACCTTTGGCCTTTCCCATAGCACGGGAGACCCCCCCCCTCCAACGAAAGACCCTGGCCCACCCTGGGGCTCCT